GGATGTAGATGACTGGGTTGTACAGAGCAGCGCTCTTGGCAAAGAAGGCCGGCGCCGTCATGAACACCGGTCCAAACTCCGTCCCCTGATTGGCAAAGATGTACCAGGCCACGCTGGCGTAGGGCACCCAGCACACCAGGAAGGAGATCACCATGACGACCACCATGCGGGTCACTTCCTTCTCTGCCCTCTGGGTGGTTTCAGACTCCTGCTGCTGGGCGGCAGCCTGAGGACAGACACAGGACGAGGTGAGGGTTCGAGTCCAAACAGAACTTTGAATCATTCAACTGAATGTGAAGTGAGTGTGAACTGGTTCGTCTCCTCGGTCTGACAGGAAGTCAGCGAGTTTCTACCTTCTTTCTCTGTTTTCTTCTTGTTCTTTCTGTTGACACAGATCAGGAAAATGGAACCAGTAGGTGGCGGTAATGCAACTAAAAAGACCGGCATCGTTAGCGTGTCTTAGATTTGTTGAAGACGAGATAAAATGTTGAGAATTAGAGCAACAATAACTCGTTGCTAAAACACCGCTCACTGTTGTTGTAGCGCATTAGCAGCGGTGGCTAACGGTCAAGGTTAATAAGCCAACTCTGCCTAAACAGTATCAGAATTAGTGACTTATTTTTTATATATATATATTTTATGAATATTTACAAAATACTACAGAATACTTTGTTGTCATCGTTCATTCTCGTTCTCTGCTTTTCTCGTCGTTGCGCTACTTCCTGTTGCGTATAATCCCGTTTTTTATCCAATCGTATTTCTGTCTCATGTGTTGCTACATTGAATGAAATCTGCCAATGAGATCGATTCTTTAACCAATCAGTCAACATGGCACATAGTTACTGTGGCGGTTTGAGTGATTCGATTGAGATCGACAGTGTCGAATCTACCAAGCTGGAAAATTATTGTTTTTCTGGGTTCGCTGCGTCTGTGGAGTCGACACTCTGAGCCTGAAGCGAAAAAAAGAAGAAATGATGCCGTAAATATGACGGAACAGACTGGACTGTTAGCATGAGGATTAGCATGATCATGGACGGAGCTGGAACTGGACTCGATGTTGGAACTGGAACACGATCATCTGTACAACAGTCACTGAACTCGTCTTAAGGAAAGAGAGGAGGAGTTTTGGTGAGTAAACGTCATTCTGTGTTTTTTTAATAATGTTGTAACTTTATTAATTTATTGTTATTGATGCTTTTCGATGTACATTATATCGCAGCTGTGGTTAAACTGTTTTGTGGGTTACGTCACTGATCAATAACGTCACTGCTAACGAAGTGCTAATTGAGTCTGTGCTCAAACTCGCCAAAAGCCGCCGAACTTTCCATAAATATAGGAATAAAAGCGGCGTCGGTGTCGACGCTGACAGAGTTCGATCCCCAGGTGTGGCTCAGAGCATCACTAACGAGGGCGTCAGGACACAGGGAGTGGGCTGACTGCCCTCTAGCTGCAGGACCTCGGTATAAGCTGTCACTTTGGCAGAAGCCTGTCCTGCTGGAGTGCCCCTCCCCCCACAC